CAATGTAATTCCAAAGTGTCCTCTATACTAGGCAGTTGTCCTTTCTATAGAGGCAGTTTTACTGTTTACAATGGATAAACCTCGCAGCAAAAAACCTATATAGACCTACTGTGAGCATACTTGCAGGGTGCAAACATCATGAAATGGTACAATGCTGAATGAAATGAATGTTACAAACATTGAGATTTTCAAAATCGCGTCGGACGCGGTTATGTTACACAGCTAGCAGTAGCCCTACGCTACCGCAAATAGTTCCTGGCACGAAAACACTATATTTGTTTCCTGATTGCATAAGTAATATAGATAACGATATGATTTAAATAAATTTCACAATTTTATACTGAATATACATCGAATAATGAATAATAACTTGTTTTATCGTAGAAAGGAACTGTTAATGAATCGAGCCAATCGCTCCACTGTGTCCCGGATGTGTAAACATCACTGTGGGGCTACTTTCGTAAGAGAAGTAATTTCGTTTAGATTCTGAGAAGAAATGTTATGAGAGTAGCAATACAAATGAGTTCTAGTGAATTTTTGCAACATATGCAAGCTCATAGTAGGTATATATATATATGCATTTAGCTGCGAGGTTTTGCAACTTTAACTGCTGTTCATGGGATTCGCTAAAACTGTCCTTTATAGACAGGTGTCTGTTCCGTAGCTATGCGTCGACCGGGCGTAGTAATTGACGAGACTAACGACGCTTCCTCGTTAACCTTGCAGGAGGGAGACTTCGTGCTCTCGTTCAAGGCTCCCACGCGCGACATGCACTTCCGCGTGCACGTGGACGGTGGCGCCACCTTCTGCGTCGGGCAGCGACGTTTCCGCTCGATGGAGGAGCTGGTGCGACACTACAAGAAATCTCCGATCCACGTCGACAAGCCCGGCGGAGAAAAGCATTACCTCGTTAAGCCCTTCCTGAAGGGATGACCGGAGGCTGAGCAGCCGTCGCCACGACGATAGCTAATCACAGGCCTGCGACGCGCCGTTGCACGCTCGCTTGTTTTGGCCGACGAGTTCGGCGAGGTGGCGCCCTACCGGACGCTTTGCGGGAGGTCGGAGTCGGTGGCAGGGGGCGCCATGTGTCAGCTTCGACGCGTGAAGGCGCGAGCGTGTTTGATAATACGATGTCGCATGAACGTTGGAACGAGTGTCGTAGCTGGGGGACGCGTTGACATTGTGACCGATGTGAGTGACATTGTGACGAACGTGGGTGACAGCGTGACAAACGTGGGTGACATCGTGACAAACGTGGGTGACAGCGTGACAAACGTTGGTGACATCGTGACAAGTGACGTTACATGATGTACAGCGGAGCTCGGAGGCCAGCGCTGCCAGATAAAACGGTGTGCTCCGAAAAATGCAGTGATCGACACCGTCATATGGCTGGACAAATGTTATAATCATAAGCAAATAGCCAGTGTGCGCTGTCAGAAACAAAACTAGTCTTCGCATTAACTTTTTTTTGTAGACCGCACCTCTATACACTTGTGTAAGAAAATCTCGTAACTCTACCATATTTATATCAACGGTCTATGAAAGTTAATCATGTTAAGACTAATGTTAAATCTACTTTTGTTTCTGACAAACAATGGGCTCCAGATCAATACTATGGTTGACATTATTAGAACTTTAGCCAAGTAACATCACCAGCGCTTAGCCAGGTATATGCTATGACTATCAACATCGAATGGCCAGGTGAACAGTTGTTCATTCTGTTACTCTGTCACTCTGTCACTCGGGCACAGAATCTCAATCCCGTTCTGCTCTGCGTAATGGCGGACAGCTCCAGTGGCGCCACCTATCGCCACTCCTCACGGTCCGCACCGTCTTTTGTTTTTGGAGGGGAGGGACTCGGATGCTTCTGATGTGAATGTTTTTATCGGTGAAGATATTTACTGTAAAGTGTGCCCGCATCGTCACACTCCCTTTGGGCTTGTGGAAGTGACCTCAGCACACGCTCACGCGCGCATTTATTTATCCCGCTTGGGTGCGCCACCATCGCAGATGGCAGCACCTGTAATCTTCATTTCCCTCCTCTCTTCAATTATCTTCCTCCTCTCCCTCTCTTCATGCAAGATTTATGCCACCTTTTTTTCCAAAAGCCTTTTATCCTTCCATCTGCAATGTTCCCCCCTCCCATAAGAGCTGTCTCCCCTCCTTTTGCATATAAGCTTCCTTCCCTTCCATAAGCTTCTTCCTTCCTCGTAACTAACCTTCTCCTGTTCCTCAACGCCCACATGCTTCCATCAGTGAGTGAAGGTTGTGTCGTTAGTTCATTGAATCGGACGAGTGTGGTTGTGTACGTTCATCACAGAGCAGTACGTCGCTCTGTCAATCGATCGGTCGATCACGGCACGCGTGCTCGTGCGCGGCCGTGAAATCAGCGTAGTGTGCAGAGTGAGGGACGACGGGTGAATATGGTTTCGCGCTTCACCGACTTACGCAACGTTGTCGTATCGTGCGGGTTTTTTTTGTACGCGCTCGGTGCGTGACGGGGTGGGGCGGGTTGTCCGTCGATGGCGTTTGCACCCACCTATCTACACTTGTCTCCCATCGTTTCTTATACTGTCTGTGACGTTGTGATTGGCAGCACAGAATCAACTGAAGGGTGGGCTGCCGGGTGGGTCAAGGGGGTGGGGTGGTTTAAGTGAGGTCGGATAGGTTAAGTGGGGTGGGGCTGGTCAAACTGTCAAAGAGGCGAGTGGAGCATTGCTATGAACTCCTACGCACATCGCTGGTCGTTGAGCTGGTAATTTTTGTAGAAGAAATCATGGGGTGCGAGAGGCGGGTGAACGCGTGGTTTCCATCATCATCAGCAGCAGCAGCAGCAACAGCAGCAACAGCAGCAGCAGCGGCAACAACAGCAGCAAAGCGAGCAGCCGGTGGCAACAGCAGCAGCAGCAACATCAGTAGCAGCAGCACAGCAGCGCAACAGCAGCAACAGCAACAGTAGCAACAGCAGCAGCAGCACCAACAGCAAGCAACAGCAGCCAGCAATAGGCAACAGCAACAGCAGCAGCAACAGGCAGCAACAGAAGCAGGCAGGGACAATGTCCCCTGATGGCGTGTTGAGAAGGAGGGCGGTGTAACAGGCACTGATGATCACCCGACATTTCACATGTGGCTGAGAGATCGAGTGTGGGTTGAAGTTTGCGTTTACCACCCGTGAGGGGCTGGGTGGGTTATTCGTGAAGCTATCGCGTTGTTACTGGCCAGGGTGGCGGATGCACAGCGAGGGGTAGACGATTGGATTGTCATCGTTGTTAAAGTTTAATTAGCGTTATGTTATGTAATTTATAATCGCTCTTACCCTTCTATATGTTACCAATGGTTGTGATTGTTGTGGTTGTTCAGGGGGAGTTATAGGCCTAATATTCTTTCTGTACTCTCCTCCCCCCCGCTCTGACGCTCTCCGCTCCACCCCAGCCCCCCTGGCGAGGAACAAACTGTTTGTTGCCGCGAGAGATAGGTGGCAGCAAATCGCTGTGCTGTATTGAGCTCTGTATATATATATGTGCGCCGGTGTTCTTGTGCCTCTGCGAATTTAGGATCATATTCGAACTTGGCTTTCCGCCATTTTCTCTGCGCAAGTTGACAACGATTAAACGTTCTCACTGTTTAACATTTGCCATCGGGCCTGTCGTTCCGAAGGTCAAATTTATTAATTTTATGTGAAATATGTTGACCTCTGTGTTGGGGGCGTCTTGCCGGTCAGTCAGGTTAGCGAACGTGGTGTGACATGTTGCCCATGACGACAAGTAGGAACTGATTGACGTGCACGATGACTCATCGTTGCCCGCGGGCGCATGGCGTCTAGCGTACGTCTAACGCACGATTGTCTGTTATTTTATTATTTTTGTTGTCGATTGGTTTGTGGCGTCGATCTCGCGAGGAGGGCGGCATGTAAGCGTTGTGAGATTGAAGCAGCCTTGCGTCATTTCTCCACGCGTGCGTCTTGGGGAGATTTCGATTTCAATTTGCTGAACGGGTTCTGATGTTTTTAGCAGCCCGCGGCTGAGCGCACGTAACGTTTAGTTTTGTATTTAACTAGCCGGCGCTATATTCGTAAGGCGACACCGGACCAATTTAACGCTTGGTTGCACATATGCCCGTGCTTGAGCGTGTTTATATTTCAGTTGTTCGTACTGGGACGGGGTGCGGCCAGTCCCCGGCGGGGGAGAGCCAAGGAGGAGGGGGGAGGAAAGAGCAGGAGGAGGAGGAGGAGGATGATGAGCAGGAAGGAGGGAGGAGGAGTTGGTGAGTAGTAGGAAGGCATTGCGCAACGAGAGAGACTAAGATTGGAGGAAGATTGATTAGAAAGAAGGCCACATGAGGAGAGAGAGGTAGAGGAGGAGGATGGAGTAATGAGCGGAAGGTATTGGAATGAGAGGTAGAAAGGATCCGCCATTGTATGAAGAGGAGAGATAGGGAGGAGATGATATAGAGGACAGTCATTAGGATGAAGAGGGGGTAGCAGGAAGAAGGCATGAAGTATGAGGGCAAGCGGTCCATTGGATGAGAGGAGCGTAGAGGAGAAGAGGGAATGGTCCATTGGATGAAGAGGAGCGAGTGGATAGCAGTACCAGCAGGGACAGTGGCATCTGGAATGAAGAGGGGGTAGAGGAGAAGGATGAGTATGAGGGAATGGTCATTGGACTGAAGGGAGGTTCCAGAGGAGGAGGGAAGGTCATTGGAATGAAGAGAGGAGGCATGCAGTATGGAGGGAATGGTCATTGGATGAAGAGGGGGTACGTAGGAGAGAGGATGGTACGGAGGTAAGGTCATTGGAGAAAGAGGAGGGCAGAGTTGAGTAGGAGGAAAGGTCATTGGAGGAAGAGGAGGAGGAGGTGGAAAAGGACGTTAGAAGGAATAGTCCATTGGATGAGAGGATGATCAAATTTGGTCAAGGGGAAGGAGGATGAGTAGTCAGGAGTGGGAGGGGAAGAAAGAAGGAGGGAGGAGGAGTTATGAGGGGAAAGAAGAGAGAGTCGGTGATGCAGGAGGAGAGGCGCTCGCAAGATACATTGCGGAGTCACGTGCAGCCTGAGTTTTTTTGTACAGAGATCGCGTGCCTCTCCGAAGAGCCGCGGCTTTCGGAGGTTGTTGTTTTCTTGGTTGTTGACATCGTGTATTTTTTAATTGGCGGTCCTAAGCTTCGTGTACCGCGCGCGATGGTGCTCCCTGGTGTATAAATTTCCGAGTCGGGCGGCATGCATGTTTAAGTATAGGCTGTGCCGATGGATGTGCTCGTAGGGTCTATGTCCCTTTACTCTGTTTTGACCTGGTTCGTTTAGCTATTTCTGACTACCCATACAAACACTAACCCTAATCCTAACCCTAACCTAATCCTAACCATTATATATATTATATATTTATATATTATTATAATATATATTAGTCAGAAATAGCTAAACGAGCGAGGTCAAACAGAGGTCAGGGGGACATAGACCTTATCTGCGATGGTAGTATGTTATTATTATAACAAGAGAATAAACATTGCTTGCTTACTTACTCGATGATCTCATGTCTTCTCTTGAAATTTTGTGTTGTTGCTTTTTCTTGTCGATGATAAATGGTGAACCTTCTGGCAATGAGTAAGTCTGTGTAGAAGAAATGTATTTTACCTTTGATCCCCATAAGTTAGCTTGTGTGAGATGATAATATCAGGAGCGAATAAATAATATTTATTGCTATAATACATAAATAGATTACCTGTACGTAGATTCTTCGATAAAGAATCAAGATATCAGATAATAAATATAAGAAATGGGGATCGAATTCATGGTGAAAATGAGATAATAGAGAAAATGGTCAAGTATCTGAGAAATAAATTACCTAACACAATTCTTTGGGTTTCTTATTACGGTAATAAGCAATACATACATAATAAACAATATGAACATTAATTAAAATGCAGCTGTATGACCAGATAGATGTGCAAAAATATAGCAAAAAAATTCTTTTCCGCTTCTGCCCAGAGATGGCGCGATTGTAAATATGTCCGCGCCCTTGTTATTTAATATCACCATTCGTAAATATAAGTAAACTTTACTGCTTCTTACGACGTCACTCGTTAGTGCAGGATGAGATTCTTCCGCGATCCGCGGAAATCCGCGGATTTGACCAGTCCCAGGGGTCGCTGATTTTGTGACACGTCTAAAATTCGTTGAGAAAAATTGGGAGGAGGGTAACTAATGTAAACAAGTTTAAATTATATATCCTCAAACAGCACGCTCTGGTAGACTGTAGAGTGTAGACAGTAGGCTGACGCGAAGTATTACAGTGGATCTGTTTTTCGCGTAACAGAAAAGAAATCCTTCGTTCACAGGCTGCAGTAGAAGGGCAAATCATTGAGGTAGCTGTCACTAACGACCATGCCTGCACTGGGGGCCGGGTTTTACATGTTGCTGTGTGCATGTTGTGTGAGGCATGACTATGCACAATGATTGTTACATTCGCATTGTGTTTTTTTATTCAAATCTGTGTCGCACGCAAGGCAGCTTAAATCATTTTTTCACGTGTCAAAAGGAACAAACAAACTATAATAGGAAATCCAGGGGCTGAAAATAGGGCAAGGTTTTTTATGTAAATGTCGTAGACATAATGATATTTTTCTGTTTCCACCGTCGCTTGATGGTTTTATCAGCATAATTTAGTCTGTTATAGTTTATGTCTGAAGTAATTACACATATGGTAATATAAGTATGACTAATTATACAATACAAACTGTCTCAGACATAGTGCTATGTTGAGTAAAACAATGCAAGCGCACGGGTGGAAAACGAAAAATTCATTATGTCTAGAACATTTAATAAAAAAAACGTGCCCTATTTTCAGCCCTGATTTCCTATTATAGTTCGTTTGTTCTTTTGAGCAACATTGAAATGTGATTCAAGAGTTCCTATAATGTGTTAGAATAGTTAGAATTGCACCAAATTGCACATCTTAAAAAAAATTACGGGGGAGCATGCCCACGGACCCCTAGCATGGCGATGCACTACGCGCCTCGACATTGTCGCTCTCTGTTTGCTAAGTTAAATTTCAGCTGAAAATTAAATTATCAATCTCATCCTGTTAGTGCTAAAATAAAAACTGGACTTCAACTGGTGGTAACACTAAGAAATGAGAGCTGTTCTCGTATGGTACAATATTTAGATCCTCAAAACCAGAATTAGCTGCAGCGCAACCAGTTGTGAAGGCTGTGTGTTGAGGAAGCGAAGGTAACGGGCAATCCTGCATCACGACGAGTGACGATGTGTTACGCACTCGGCTCCAACTGGTAGCTATGTCTTGGACTAGGTAGGCCACTAACTCTAATCTAAGGTGACTCCGGCTTCATCCTTACGCTATCCCTAACCCTAACCAACATACTAAGGCTGTTAAAAGTTTATCTTGTGTAAAGTAATTTGTAAAGCTTATATTTTAATTATATCAGATGATTTCATGACCTAGGATAATAATAACCAAGATATAACTGAATAAGTGCGCGAAGAGGAGGCCACAATGTAAGGGTGTGCTCATCTACTTTTGTGCGTTTTTCCCGGTGATTTCTAAAATATTGAATTTAAAAATGACTGTAATAAGAATGAATGCGTGGATAATTAATTAAATAAATAAAAATACATCTCTCCCCAACCAGGGTAATGTTTAATTCTTGATATAGGGCCTTACTACCTGCAAACACTGACTACTTACATCAGCGCATTTTCTTTTAAAATGCAGAGACACCCACTTATAAGTGTAGGCCCTACCTAAGCCCTGGTTGTACCTAGTGCTCTTGGTAGGTTGTCAGGACATAGGATATCTAAATTGTGATATCTAATGTTGTGATTATGCTTACGATTCGCTAGTATATGTTTTGGCTGTATGTTACACGCACGTAAGGGAGACAAGCAACTGGAGGCGCTCGAACCGGTTAGAAGATAGACGTGCTGTGTTTCAGAAGAAGGTGACTCGACACTCGCTTACGGTTAGCGGTCGCTCGCATCACTGCAGCGAGGAGAGCTGTTCAGCTGTGGTGACTAATAGTAGCTTCCTACATCAGCCGGCTGTGTATGGGAGATCCTCTTGTTGTTGTAAGATTCCATCGCAGGCGAATTTCAGACACCCACCCAGGAGAGTTTTTCTGTCTCACAGAACTCAGTTGATCACAGAACGTCTGAGGTTAATGTATATTTGTTGAATTAGCATGAAAACTGATTTTTTCATTTTATTTTTATTTTATTCACATATTGCTGTCAGTTGTCATTGATTCCCTAGTTTTTCACTTGGAAGAAAATGTGTTAGACCGGGAAGATGAGAATCTACGCGGATCTGCGGTTTCCCGAGTTTTTTCACTTTTCGAAAATTATCAATTTTGGAAATCGTTCAAATCTGTTGAAAAAAAACTGTAGGGGGTGGTGTACTGCCACCCGCGGACAGTGGAAAATGTCCCCCGGCTAGTGATGCTTTTTTACCATCTGAGGCTCGCCATCCCGCATGACATGACATACGCGTACGCTGATCATCGCAATCAAAACACGTAGCGGCACATCGAGCCGGCAATGCTAAGCGCACGTACGGCGTTTATGAACAAGCTAGTTTTCAAAATTTCTGTGCTTCAGAATGTGTCTGCAAGCATCTAATTAAAAAACAAAACAAAAGTGCTTAGCACCTGCGATGCTCGCAATATAGCGCTTTGCGCTTTCACCAGTGTAGAAAATAATCCTGGATTTCGGTCTTCGGGCCGTTCTCGTCTCTGTAGTATGCGTATATGTGTTATTTAATGTAGTTGTTTTCTGTTCGCATAGGTCACTGCCAGCAGGGAAATGCTACAACAACCCCAGGAACGGTGCCAGTCTTGCTGAACAAAAACCTCACTGGAAAAGTCATTACTCAAGTTGCGTGTGGAAGTTATCACTCTCTGGTTTTAACTCAAGAAGGAGAGGTAGTTATACTCACATACCAACCTATGTACTCATATATTTCATTCCGTTCATTCCAGCACTTAAAACTTAAATTTGTATTAGAAATTGTTATACTGCAAATATTCAGTTTACTGTCGCTATATATTGTAGGTGCATACCTGGAAAAGTATGATACATAACTTAATGACATATAGTTCAGGGAATATAATTTCACACAAATTGTTGCGACATATATCACAGTACATTTTCAACAAAACTAAAATATCGTACTGAAATATAGATTCTTCGGTACATAGTGGTAGTATAAAAGAGCCGCATATGTACATATATATAACATAACGACATGTATGTGCATGTATATATACTGTTGCGCAATATGTGAGTATGGTGTTTTGCATCTATAGCTGTATGCGTGGGGACAGAACAACTGTGGCCAAGTGGGATCAGGGTCGACTCCAAACCAGCCAACACCTTTTAAAGTCACCTCAGGGATAGGCAAGTAACGTATATACTAGTAATTAATACAGAGAAGAAGTGTTGTGCATCAGGGCCATAATAAAAATATTGTTTGTTTGCCCTCACCCGACCGACCCGCCAAAAAGGGGCCGAGTCAATTTTATTGATCTTTTTTTTTCTTTTTTTAACAAATTGTATCACTGTACATTATATAAATCTGTATGCAATACATTATGTACCAATCAAAGGAAACGTTCTACATAAAAGGTATCTCCACACAAGCACACCCGAGCATGTAGACACCACGCTGAATTTGTAAAAAGACCCCCGCCCTCAAAAAAAGAAAGAAGAAAAGCCGACCTACCTACCCAAAATTTTCAGCCTAGGTCGGGTGAGGGCAAACAAAGATTTTTTTAATTGTGGCCTCAGTTAGCCACGATTCGTCTGTGGAGCGGGAGGGGGCAGCGAGGATTGTTGCTGCTCAGTGCAATTATGTGCAATTATTGCGCAGATATGAGGACGTTAACGAACTCCATAATAATATCTACAATGATGATAATGAAGATGATGATGAAGATGGTGATAATGATACTGATGTTGATTATGATGAAGCTGCTGCTGATGATGACGATGATGACAATAATAATGATGATGACAATAATAATGATGATGATGATAATGACGGTATCATGCTGATAATAATGGTGATGATGATGATGATAATGATGATGGTATCATGGCTAATGATGCTGTTTCCATGTAGGTGCGCGGCGTGTGGTGCAGATAGCATGTGGCCAAACATCATCCGTTTGTGTACTCGACAATGGTGAGGTAAATATACTATCTGCCCAGCGTTGTCTATGTGCAGCAAACACTGCCTAACCCCAAGGCATTGATTCTGTGTCGAATGCGATGATACAAGTGCCGTATGATATACATGGGGGTCTGTGAGTTATAATCATCATCGGTCAAATGATTTCCTACATAGCTTAAATGTTCGCAGATCAAAACTCGATTGGTGCACGCACGCACATGCTCGTAGGCGATGTTCGTGTGCGTAATGTCAACAGAATGTTGCTTTAAACTCCGCCTATTTATAACTTGATGAGTCTCTTTCTATTTTTTATGTATGCATAGTTGTGCTTCAGTCTGTTCTAGGTGTTTAGCAGTACTGCGTCTCCGGTTTTTAATTATAGTGTTTCTTTGTGGATAACATATCTGGGAATCGACGATGGTAATGCATAGGTGGTGTGCTTGCAGGTGTTTGGCTGGGGCTACAACGGCAATGGACAGTTGGGACTAGGTAACACCTCAAACCAATACAATCCATGTCAAGTGGGAGGACTAGCTCATGTTGTGGTGTCAAAGGTAGATCTCCAAACCCCCCTAACCCAACAATCGTGCATTAGTATAAACGTGAGAATTGTTTTTCTTTTAGTCTTGGCCTTGCTGATGGGAACTCGTACAGGAGCAGATGCTTTTACAGGTCAACTATTTGTTTACAGGTTACTTGCGGATATGCCCATACAATGGCGCTCACAGACGGAGGGGATCTCTATGCGTGGGGTGCGAATTCGTATGGACAGTTGGGCACAGGGAACAAGGCAACCAGCCCCAATCCAGTGTCTGTCGGTAGTAAGAAGGGCAGGTTGGTGTATATTCAAGAATAATCGTTTCTAATAAGCACAAATCTCACGATACAATATCCCGATTTCGATGTAATCATGTTTTTCGTATATGCAAATTAACTACCCATCATAGTAATTATTGTCGATATTTTCATGAATGATCTGTGGCAAAAATTTATAACTGAGAATAATGCTGCAACCTATCGTTGTTCTGTTAACATCCAGGGGGCCGTTGTCAGAAACATTGTAAAGTTAATGCTAAGATAACACTTACGACTAATGTTAATGTTACATTGAGGGGGGCGTTGACAGAAACACATCGCAGCTATTAGAAAACTTACGATAACAGGAACTTCATCACAAGGCTGCTGATTGGATGAGAATCGATCACAAAATTCAAATTCATACACATTTATTGTATATCACAGCAATTTATGCATATTATGATGGCTAACCACATATAAATAATATTTGATGAAAAATGACGCGGTCATGAATTTATTCTGCACAACAAGACAAATTCTCACACTGTAACACGAGACGCGAGAATAGTGCCAAGTGGCAAAGTCATTTAAAACAAGAGAAAAAATGGCATACGCCATTTGTAAATGTTTCGTTTTGTTTTATGATCGGTAGATAATTAATGTTTTTGACGTGTTTTTAAAGAATAAACACATTTACTTATTATTATAAATATAATATCACTATAATTGTAATTCGTAGTGTAAATGTGTTATTTTCATTTTAATATTTAAAGTTACGAGAGGGTTCTGTGGCTCTCGTAATGTTGAGAGGGATATTTCGAGGATTTTTCATTCTCGTAATTTTGCGATGTTTCTGTCAACGGTTTACGAGTGGAAGTTAATGTTAAGACTAATGTTAAGACTAATTTTGTTTCTGACAACGGGCCCCAGGGTGGTAACCCTTGCCTTACTGCACCACACCCCCTGGAGTTGTCTTCTGTTATTCTTCTACAATGCACACTAGAGGTGACCCTAACTTACTTCCACAACACCCTGTGGTGGTAACCCTATCATCTTTTCACATTGCCACCTGGTGGTGACCCCAACGGTGCTTCCACAACACCTAGTGGTGCCCTCTGCTATACTTCTACGACCCCCCTGGTGGCGACACCCACCATGCTTCCATGACGTCCCCCTGGTGGCGACACCCACCATGCTTCCATGATGTCCCCCTGGTGGTGACACCCACCATGCTTCCATGATTGTCCCCTTCGTGGCGACACCCACCATGCTTCCATGATGTCCCCCTGGTGGTGACCCCTGCCCTACTCCCATGACTGCTCCCGGTGCTGACCACTGGTGTACTTCTGCAATGCCCCCTGGTGGTGACCCCTGTGCATCGTGATTCGCAGGTTCGTGGACATTGCGGTCGCCGTCGCACTACACGCACATTTCGGCAGCGATCACGCACTCCGGCATGGTGTACATGTGGGGCCAGTGTCGCGGGCAGTCGATCACCGAGCCAACAGAGACGTTCTTCTCATGCCTGGACGACGTGTTTGCGTGCTACGCCGTGCCTGCCGTCACGTTCAGGGCTCTGAAGATAGGTGAGCAACAGCGCCAAACTCCACGGCCATGTGGCAGTGGTATCCTGAGTTGTACGAAGGGGGCGCCGCATGCAGTTTGTAACAGCGCGTGCATGAATGTTATATTGGTGCTGGTGGTGGGGGAGAGGGAGTAACCTCATTCTGATATATGTATAGGCTGTACATTACATACACGTTCTCATTTCAACATTGTTAGTGTACTTACTCCTGATGATAGGTTATGTGTTATCTGTTATGTGGTGAGCAGTGAGTGAGTGAGTGTGTATGTGTGTGTGTGTGTAGGGTTACTGAAGGCGAATACAAAAAAAGTGTTCTCTATAAACAGACATTGAACCTACAGGTGTACCTAAGGTTGAATTAAATTTGTGGGAGTCGTATACGCCTAATTATGTGTCGTGTTCATGAATGTTACTGTAAATAACAGAGCATCACTTGTTGTTGTGCATGCATACGTGATTAACTCCCGTTATTCGTAAGGCCTCGTAGAGAAAAGTAAGGTTAGAATAAGGAATATAATAAGGTTTGTTCACTTGTAGTTTTCGAATGTTTTAGTGTTGGTTCACGGTAGGGAAGATTTCTAGATGTCTTGATCTCAAACAAAGTGTCATGATTATTGATTTTTGTCTGTGAAAGGAACGTACATAATTCAATGGCTGTGCGTGAACCTGCATTTATATTAGATCTTAGTGTAGCTCTAGAGGTTTTATTAATTATTGTCTTGACAGTATTATGCCTATGAGTAGAAGTGTCAGGAAAGATGAGATTAGGACTAAAGTTCTTTCTGTTAACTAGCTGCAGACTCTTTAGTCTCACAGCCACATCTTCAGTCTTGCAGCCTGACCTGGCTACAAAATGCATGGCGGACATCGCGGTTAAATTCGTGTATGCAGGTTTCTTACGAAACCTCCGAGTGTAGCTGTTTGCATCATATGTTACCTGACTAATGTAATATGCGTTGTTTTTTTTGGCAGAGCACACAGATCACATGTCAGTCGCTCAGTCGGTGGCCATGTCGTTTGATGACCCGGTCAGTGTTGTATTAGTTATATATACGTGATAAACGTTCATAATGCAGACTTACTTAAACGACAATTATCAACTTAAATTGGCCTAATTGCTTCACTTATCTTGTATAGCACAAGGGTAAATTAATTATTAGCAAAGTTTAGTGTTTCGGTGCCTAATTCATTTTTCCCGTTTACCATGACATGTATAGTAAATCATAGTATTTCTGATTATATGTAGAAATTCGTATTCAGATACTTTTCTTTATGAAACGCGTGTATCAGAATTCCATCATATTCTGCCATACTTTCTGTAAGCATTCCGACAATGCGGTGTATTTCATCTGTGTGTTTGTTCACAGGCGACCAGTGATGTGAAGATTCAATTGGAAGGGGAAAATCATTCATGTTCACAAGGTCGTACTGAAGATTAGGTGTGTGTATCACGTCGAATTCGTCTCTTATTCACTTGACCCTAGATCTTACTCACAGTTGATTACATTAATTATTGATTTATTTGATCTCATTGATTGTTTTCCGGTGACCAGTGACCGGTTTACCTCACATTTACCTGGTTAATGTTGTAATTACGTAAAGTTGCCTTAACATCAATCTGATTAATGGTTTAATTTATCAAAATTACACTAACGTCGGCCTGATTAATGCTATCTCGACCACACAATGGTGGTCGTATCTGCCTCATACATGAGAGTAATTATGATCCACAAGTGTGAAGCTAATACCACTTAATAATATCCTCTTTTAGGTGTGAACATTTTCGATCTATGTTTCAATCTCACTGGGAGCAGGATGGAAAAGAGTGAGTACCACCTATTTCACATCGAGCAAAAATGAGGAGCTATTGTTAATAATAATGTACTATTTGTGATAATAAGAAAGAAACATTTTTGCTTCGACTCTTGACTTGTTGCATGTATTATAGAACAAACGTTTCTCGATGTATCAACCATCTTCCACCTCTTTCTCTGCTTGCTGTTGGATATACTTGCACCTCGTTCAATCGTCTTCATTCCACCGTAAATTGCATGTATCACCCACAGATACACATCACTGATGTTCACTCTTCCGTTTCTCCCACAAAATTGTTGATTGGTTGCCATATTTCAGCGTAATTGAGATATCACAGTTCACATATCCAGTGTACAGGGCCTTCCTGCAGTTCTTGTACACAGACAGGATAAACCTGTCACCGGAGCATGCTATAGGTATTACATTTTGTGAAGTAATATAGTTTTACATACCCGCACATCATTGTTACTTTTATTTATTGTCCTGCTTGTTGACTTGCTGCAATTTTACATCTATAATTATTGGTTTCCAATCTGTGTTGGTAAAATTGTGAGTTTATAACCGTAGCAACATACCTCAGATGAGCCCAGTGGCTCTGCAGCTCTTGTTTATTGTCCTGGTTTGTTGACTTGCTGCAATTTTATATCTATATTGGGTCCAATCTGTGTTGGTAATTTGCGTGACTTTGTTTAGCAATAGGATATGAGAGAGAACAGTCTTTCGATCAAGTAGCCAAGAATTTTTATGTGAATCTTTAGGTAAAACCCATTTTTTATGCAAATGTAAAAGATATTTTTTGGTCACTGAACATCTCATTTCGATATAATTTTAGTTTTGGTTGTGATTTATTTTGGTGGTTTTGGTTATTACATTATAAATTATGTACTATTGCAGGTTTGCTGGACTTAGCTAACTCGTACTTGGAGAGACAGTTGAAAGCTTTGTGTGAGCGAACCATCAAGCAAGGAATCACCGTGGAGAATGCTGCCATGCTGTACGCTGCCTGCCCGCATATGTGAAGCAAAGGTACTAAATGGCAATAGTGACTGTTTGCCTATTCTGCACCCTGTTCCTCATCTTCCAGCAAAGACTACTACCTAGATCTGCTAACGCTGAACTACTACCACTGCTCTATCTGTCTGCTTTATTTAAATGCTCTTCTGTTTTTCGTGAGTTACAGGAACTCGAGGAGTTTTGCCTGCGATTCGCACTCAATCACATGACTGCCGTCACCCAATCAGAGGCGTTCACTGAACTTGACGAGGCAACGCTAAAACGCTTCATACAGCGCGCCGCCACGCAGGGAGCCTTCAAAATACTGATGCCTAGGTGGCAGCACCGTCCACTGTGCTCTCTCTGAACGTGAGCCATATATTATTTGTTGATGTGTGAATGTCATACACAAATGTACCAATATCATACAAATATCATGTATAAATGTAAATGTATCTTACAGAAGTCGTGTACGAATGTTTGAATATCACACGAATGTCATGCGTTCAGTCATACCTTCTTGTATTGCTGACAAATAACCGGTGTATTATGGGATTAAAAAAGCAAACAGAAAAAATGGACCAGGAGTCTTCTGGGAACAGAATCCAACTTGATATATCTGTAACTTGCATCCCTGTGCTCCTACGCTGGGAGGAGTAGCAGATGCTGCATGTAGGGACAGGTTATTATTGTTCTTTTGAAGGGCAGTTGTTGTTTGATGCGCCTGTTCGAATGGCATTGGTAGTTAATAGAAATGATTGTCAGGCAAATAACGTTGTTAGTAGGTACGATGGTATGTGAATAATTTAGTTGTGGGTATGCTAAACGCTTGCGTGAATGTACACATGCGTTAAAATTATAAGTTTGACATAAATGATAACATGATTCTAAAACATATCTCTCACTGCTAATGTATTATGATGTCGATCTACAGCTACAGACTGTGTATAGTTTGTATTTTCTATTTGTGAGCAGTTGATTCCACTATTGTATTTTTGATCTAATGCATTGAACATTTGTAAAACTTTATCATCTGATCACGAGTAAGATCATATAAGATAAGATGGTATAAAGATGAGTAATTATTAGTTGAGTTGTATTTATCTTTCTTTTGATCTCACTTATTATAAAATGGCAAGCTTTCCATGCTGGATGTATTTTGTTTGTCTTATTTTTGTACGTAGCAGTTGGTTGAAGATGATTGTTTGATAGAGCAATAGTGATTATATCAGTGGCCTGATGAGATGAAGTGTATAGTTAACCTCATAACCTCATAAATAGTCGTCTTCAAAATTCCTAGGGACTATAACGAAGACGGAGAGATAAGTTGATCAAATCCATAGATCAACACTGCGGATCGTAGTGGAAAAAGCTGCAAATTTGCAATTTGCCAAATAAGAAGGGAGAGAATTCCAATATGGAATGACAGAAAAAAAGAAGCTAAACTTAAAAGGATCCTTAGAAGATGGCACATGCCGAAAGCAATGATCACGCTCAGAGTGCATCGAACAGGCTCCATCAAGATAGGCTTAGTGTTAGCACTAGGCACAGGCACAGGCACTTCTCAATAAAATAAAAATAAAGGTAAATAAACACGAAGCATCGATGACTCCAGTGTGATGACTTATGATGCCATTAACTTCATCACCACTAAGCAAAACTTCATAACAATCTCCTTTTCCGTCCTTTATTTGCTTTCATTTCAGGTTTAATTATTATTATTATTATTATTATAACACAATTGGACAGTAAAAAGCAGGTAGACATTGAGCATCTTCTTTAGAAATACCAATGCATTTACAGTGAAGCCATTGTTCACACTTGTGGCAGAATATCCTTCAGATGCCGACCATTGCATCGTGCGCATATTTCTTTTTCTTCAGTTGTAGCCATAATTTTACAGTGGCCCTTTACTTCTTCAAAAATTCTTTTTCTGAGCTGCATCACATCTCTGTCTGCCGTCAGTGATCTGTTTTTTAGAAGTTGCGCAGCATAGTGGCACACAAATGCCCCGCAACTAGAAGAATCCTCCTGGAGTTAGTGTGGTGGGCATGTCAGTGTCCATTCCACCACATCTATCTTCGTTTTCTCTTTCAGGAAAGCTATTGTCATGGAGAATGCTCGGGGAGAAGACGAGGCATCTGTGCTCTCCAGTGGATCCAAGTATAATATGAGTCGCTCCTTCATGGATATGGCCACCAGCACCCAGTGGTCACTGGTCACTGGGGCCAGAATCACTGAAGCGGCACTCATGCCATCTTTACGGTCTGCCCAGAGCATTCCAGTTGGCTGACCCCTCGCTCGCGGACGCGCTTGAATTCTACTCGGTCTACGACCATGCGTCGGACTACGCCGAGCTCGCGTGCTACTCCAGCCTGCTCTACAAGCTGCTCAAGTTCTTCGAGTCGGACTTTGAGCGCAAGTCGAAGATGCACAAGCGGCGCGTCGACACGCCGCGGGGAGTGTTCGGCGAGCTCCACCCCTGCACCACTACCTGCTCGTCTGCCGGCAGCTGACGTACGTAATCGCTGAGGCGTACGGCGAGATGCTCGACATCAAGATGGCGATTGTCGAGGAGCAGCAGACGATGCCATCGCCGCACGCTGTCAGGAAGATCAACCTGCTCTGCGCCGAGTGCATTTGCAATTTCGAATTGTTCCTCGAGCTGTGGCTCGCAGGGAGATTTGAATCCGATCTGCTGCTGATAGCGGATTGGCGTGCGTGCGTGGTATGGGGGCATGCCAGCTGTATTGCCGGCATGCTGGGTAATGTTTAATTCTTGATATACCTGCAACGCTGACTACTACAATCACCGATTTTCTTATAAAATGCAGAAAATATAAAGTGTACCTAAAATGTTGTGCTTCCTTGGTAATTGCCAGACCTAGGATATCTAAATTGTGATATCTAACCTGTGATTATGCTTACGTCTCGCTATATGTTTTGGCTTATGTTACACGCACGCAGGAGACAGCACTGGAGGCCTCGAACCGAAGAAGATAGACGTGCTGTGTCAGCAGAAGGTGATCGACATCGCTTACGGTAGCGGCCCTCACGTCCTCGCCATCACTGAGCGAGGAGAGCTGTTCAGCTGGGGTGACAATAGTAAGCTTCCTACATCAGCGCTGTGTATGGGAGATCCTCTTGTTGTCTGTACATCCCATCGGAGTGTTATCAGAACCACACCCAGGAGAGTTTTTCTGTCTCACAGACAGTTGATCCACAGAACGTCTGAAGTTAATCGTACATTTGTTGATTAGCCATGAAACTGATTTATTTATTTTATTTTATTTTATTCACAATATTGCTGTCAGTGTCTTGTATCCCTAGTTTTACTTGAGAAAATGTAGTAGCCGAGATGAGAATCTCTCGCGGATCTGCGTTTTTCACTTTCGGAAATTATCAATTTTCGAAATCGTTCAAATCTGTTGAGAAAACTGTAAGCGTAACTATAACTGTTGCGGACAGTGGGAAAATGTCCCACGGCTAGTGATGCTTTTTTACCATCTGAGCTCGCCATCCTGCGACCGACAAATGTACTATTTATTCGCGCACTGCGCTGCAATGCGTGCGCAATGGCGGCGTTCATGAACAAGCTAGTTTTCAAAATTGCTGTGCCTCAGAATGTGTCTGCAAGCATCTAATTAAAAAAATAGTGCTTAGCACCTGCGATGCTCGCAATATAGCGCTTTGCGCTATTCCACCAGTAGGTAGAAATATATCCCGCGGATTTCGTCTGGGGCCGTTCTCGTCTCTGTAGTATGCGTGTATGTGTTATTTAATGTAGTTGTTTTCTGTTCGCATAGGTTACTGCCAGCTGGGAAATGCTACAACAACCCCAGGAACGGTGCCAGTCTTGCTGAACACAAACCTCATTGGAAAAGTCATTACTCAAGTTGCGTGTGGAAGTCATCACTCTCTGGTTTTAACTCAAGAAGGAGAGGTAGTTATACTTACATATCAACCTATGTACTCATATATTTCATTCCGTTCATTCCAACACTTAAAACATAAATATTCGAAATTGTTATACTGCAAATATTCAGTTTACTGTCGCTATATATTGTAGGTGCATACCTGGAAAAGTATGATACATAACTTAATGACATATAGTTCAGGGAATATAATTTCACACAAATTGTTGCGACATATATCACAGTACATTTTCAACAAAACTAAAATATCGTACTGAAATAAAGATTCATCGGTACATAGTGGTAGTATAACAGAGCCGCATATGTACATATATATAACATAACGACATGTATGTGCATGTATATATACTGTTGCGCAATATGTGAGTATGGTGTTTTGCGTCTATAGGTGTATGCCTGGGGACAGAACAACTGTGGCCAAGTGGGATCAGGGTCGACTGCAAACCAGCCAACACCTTTTAAAGTCACCCCAGGCAAGTAACGTATATACTATAGTAATTAATACAGAGACGAAGTGTTATGGGCATCAGGGCCATAATAAAAAATATGTAATGTTTACCCTCACGATCGACCCGCCAAAAGGGGCCTGACTCAAGAAATGTTATTGATCTTTTTTTTTTTCTTTTTAACAAATTGTATCAGTTGCTACATTATATAAATCTGTGGCAAATACATTATATGATTTACCAAGCAAAAAGAAACATTCCAACATAAAAGGTATCTCCACACAATGCACACCGAGCAGTGTGAGACACCATCTGAACTCTTGTAAGAAACGACCCCGCCCTCAAAAAAAAAGAAAGCAAAAGCCGACCTATATACCTACCCAAAATTTTCAGCCAGGGTGGGTGAGGGCAAGACAAACTATTTTTTTTGACATTGTGGCCTCAGTTTAGCACGATTTCGTCTGTGGAGACGGGAGGGGGGCAGCGAGGATTGTCTGCTGCGTCAGACTGCAATTATGTGCAATTTATGCAAGATACTTGGCGCAGCATATGAGGACGTTAACGAACTCACATACTAATACGTACAATGATGATATGAAGATTGATGTTGATGATGCATGATGAAGATGGTGTAATGATACTGATGTTGATTTCATGTATGTAAGCTGCTGCTGCTGATTGATTAATGACAAAAGTTGATGTGATGATGATGATGATGATAATGATGATATCATACTGATATGATGATAATGATGATGGTATCATGCTAATGATGCTGTTCATGTAGGCTGCGCGGCGTCTGGTGCAGTATAGCATGAGGCCAACACATCATCCTTTGATGTACTCTTCACAATAATTGAGGTCTAAATATTACTATCTGCCCTCAGCTGTTGTCTTGCTGCAGACAAAACACTTGCCTAACCCCAAGGGCATTGATTCTCCTGCTGTCGAATGCGATGATTACACAGTGGCCGTATGAGTATACATGGGGTCTGGTAAGTTATAATCATTGATCGGTCAAATGATTTCCTACATAGACTTAATGTCGCAAGCATCAAAACTCGATTGAGTGCACGCATGCCACATGCTCGTAGCGCGATGATTTCGTGTGCGTAATGTCAACGAAGTGTTGCTCTTAAACTCCGCCTATTGTATAACTTGATGAGTCTCTTTCTATTTTTATGTATGCGCATAGGTTGTGCTTCAGTGTGTCTAGGTGTTTAGTCAGTACTGACGTGTTCGGTTTTAGGCTCATCTGACGTCCATCAGATGCAGCTTGTAGCAATCGCAAGCATCGTCCGTTTGTCGGCCGTCCGTCCGTGCAGTGCCGTCCACAGTTGGCACAAATCTTAACCGCTCAACGTATGTGGTCACGATATTCAGGACGGGGGGAGGGGGCGATAATCCGAAAACGAGTTGGGCATGTCGAAGTGGGGGGTCAAAGCGTCAAAGGTTCAAAAGACGGTGATATTTAAGAAGGGGGACATTCCCTCCTTAACTTAAGGTACTAGGGAGAAATGCAGAATTGCGCGCACAAATCTAACGGCCTCGACCTAGGCTCGTGAGTATCGGTGTATTATAGACGATGGATGGTAGGAAAAGGCCATCACTGGTGCCGAAAATTGGAGGTCACCAGGTCACAAAGGTCATGGGGGCACAGGCAGATATTTATGACAATTTCTGAGGACATGCCGTCTGACGGCAGCAATTGTAACAAACTTTTTTGTTTCAGCCGGTGACCTAGTTTTTATGCGCTTTATTGAATAGGACATGAAATGTGCTTCCACTGACGTGCGAAGAGCATAGTGTCGGATAACCTTTGACCCTCACAGACTGAGGGTTAAACATGCGATTTGTTGAACTGTTAACAAAGGACTGAACTGTGGTTTGATGGTACTTGTGTGATCGTGGAGAAGACTAAATTTCACAGTGAAATTCTGTTGCATGCCAAACTTACTTGAAACAATGTTTACGCGCCTTAAATCATATATGAACTTCATTCTCTATATGAGATTCTGTACGTGGGAATACATGTCAATAGCACTTACGGCAAACGTCTGCTTTTTGATTAAGGCCAACTATAAATAGTGACTACTCGCAGTGTGGTGGTGATAGCCATGGCTGATCATATCACAGCATAGGCTAAACGCTAAACTGGTACTCGCTCCCACCTCGACTTATCGCCCCACGAGTAACTAAGCGCCAGAGCGTGGGACCGGGTACCAGTCTACGTAATAAGATGCAGTATGCACGCCATCTATCGGAACAGAGTGAGAGAAGTCCGGCAGGAAGTAAAATGATATATTGCGCTCAAAAGATGCCCAGAAAGAATTACTTTCTTAACTTCATGTTTAATCATCTTGAGGATAAAGTAATTGCAGAATTGATCGTCAAACCACCAATGAAAATTTGCCAGTTTTGTTACTGTCCTTAGGCATGGCTCGTCTCCGTCAAACGCTTACGTAGTGTGCAATGTCGGGAAAATTAAATGGTGGAGCATGCTGGCTTGCAGAGCTGATGCGGTGACTGTCAGTCGAAATGTGTTAATCCTCCTCTACGAATTGACAAGAAAGCTGTACATTACTAACGTGCCGTCTACCTTACCTCTGGGCCCGGCATCTTCGTCGTAAGTTTTGGACCGCTCGGANAGTGGTTATGTTTGACTGGCTCGACCTATGCAAAACCAAGCACCCAGCTAAGGCTGTTAAAAGTTTATCTTGTACTTTGTAGGTAAAGTAATTTGTAAAGCTTATATTTATAATTATATTCAGATTGATTCAGACCTAGGATATAATAACCAAGATATAACGAATAAGTGGGAAGAAGGAGCCCCACAATGTAAGGGTGTGCTCATCATACTTTTTGTGCGTTTTTCCTGGGTGATTATCTAAAATATTGAATTTAAAAATGACTGTAATAAGAATGAATGCGTGGATAAAAATACATCTCTCCCCAACCAGGGTAATGTTTAATTCTTGATATAGGCCTACTACCTGCAACACTGACTACTATACAATCACCGATTTTCTTTTAAAATGCAGAGAATATAATTAGTGTACCTAAAGCCTGGTTGTACCTAGTGCCCTCTTGGTAGTTGTCAGACATAGGATATAGATCTAAATTGTGATATCTAATTTGTGATTATGCTCACGTCGGTTCAAGGATAGAGAACATGTATCCCAATAAAACCAATGTCATTTACATC